GAGGAAAAATTTTAAGAGTTGTAGTGGGCTTGCATGTAGTTGAATGCTTAGCAGGTGTTAAGAGTTGGCATGTTTGTTGTGAGTAAATCAACTGCTAATAAGGTGAAGAAATCACATGTCAAGGCAGGTTATAAAACCACAGATCCACGTGGTTGTTGAGATGGTTGTCAGGCTTAGGAGATTTTGAAATTTAACTTCATTGGCAGCCTGCCTGTCACAGTAGGGATAGGGCATGTGGGAACAATGCTCTGACGACACCCGGGATTAATCCAGTAACAGCCTAAATCCAGGCAGGTGTCACTGGCGTGCCAGGGTTACCCCAGCTGCTGCCTGCCAGCACTTCACTTCAGAGCCATGCAGACAGCTTATGCTGTGCAGCTGCTCTTGGGTTCTGTTCTGAGGCGTGCTATTTGCATGCCTTGTATAGCTCTTTAGCCACAGACAGCTCAGCTAGAGCTTTTTATCAACAGTGAATCATCCTTTCTGTCATACCATAGTAAAGGATTTTTTTGTGTCCATGACTCAGAGAAAAAGGTGGTGGTGTCCCCTCCAAGTCGTAGCTGGATAAGCTGCTTTTGTTTCCCCACTCATTTCATGATTGGAGAGAGGGAACAAGCTGCAGAATGATGGCAATTTCAATATAGACTTGGCTTTTTAGTGCCCTCCCTTCCTCCTCAAATCTGTGCTGGATAAGATGAGCTGTAGCAGCCACGAGTTTGCAACAGTACCAGCAGGATAAATATTTCTGGATTTCTAGCTGATTTTAAGATGATCAGTGTATGTTCCCTTCCTTTTTTTGGCAAAGGTTAGCCCCATTAGATGTACTGCTCTTCATTTCATCTCCTTCTCCCATCTGTTCTGTCTCTTTTCAGTAGAAACCAAGGAGATGTAGCTCCCACTCAGGCAGCGAGATAGCTCCATCTCCCATATATGAGAAAATATCTGTGTGAAGTAGAGCGATGCCCTGCCATGTACACAAATCACATTGTACTGTGAAGGCAGGTTGTGCTCTCTCAAACTCTGATAAAGCCATATCCTCTCTATCAGCTTAAACAGATGAGGGAATACCACTGCCCCTCTCAGTTCAGTGTTGTTGAATTCCCAGGCCTAAGCTAGGATACAAAGGAATCCAAACAACTTGTTTCTGAGAAACCAGATTATCAAAGCAGTAGGTAAGAAAAACAAATAATTATTTAAAATAATAAATAATAAAATCATTTTATTTACATTTTATTTATTAGATAGCCATTTCATTAAGGAAAAAAGCTCCAGAGCATTGTTTCATTTCCCTGATTTTTAAAGAAGATTTTATAGTGTCTCTTTGTGAGAACAACTGCATACCATGAGTTCTGTGTAGAGAGCAGCATTATCTTTGAGAAAAGTTGTCTTCATGTTAATTCATTTAATATTACCTCTATGAGGCAAGCAGATATTTATTACATGTAATTGTTTATTACTAATACTATTATCACCAGACTATATTTGAAGCAAGACAGTTTGCAGTGAAGATGGTTTGTATTTGTTTTGTGATCAGATGTCTAGGCTCATTTTTATCTTCTGGCTTTTACCTTTGCCATCTTCTGTACTTCTGATTTCCTATTTAGTATTAACTGTGGATAACTGAAGTCCCATTAGAAGTATTAGAGAGATAGTGATTTTTGTTCATGCTTCTTAAAACCAGTTTATACTGACTTGACCATATATATACTGTGAAATATTTTGAGTTATACTGTGAAATATTTTTTAGTCAACTGAATGAGATTACCAGGTAGGTAATACTTCCCACGTAGCACATGCATTTTGCAAGGTTAGGGGACAGGCGTATATTCCCTCTGCTGTATGGTGGGAGTAAAGGGGATGGTGCTTCTGACACAAACTCCTGTGATGGGAGCCGCAAACCTTTGCATCCGATTATGTGAAAGGATCTACCTCATGTGCAGGGTCCTGTTATCATTGCTACAGACTTAGGCCAGGGCTCTGTTCTTTCCTGTCCTAATGCATTGCTGGAATATGTGTATTCTCACAGCTGCATCTTGAATGGAGGAGGCAGAGGACAAAATGGGAGATGCAGTACAAAAAATAGTATACGTGTCCTGAATACATCCATGTGGGCATGGTTTCAGCTAGTGATGTAAGAACAACCATATTATGTAAGATGCCAGCAGCTCTGGGTCTTTTCTCTCAAAGGAGAAGTTTCCTTAATGCTTTTTTAGTTAGTAATCACTTCAGTTAATATCAGTTGTTAATAGGCAGAATTTATTTAAAACCACATGCTTTGGGTGCATTGTACGAATGTCAACTGTGAATACAGTGTCTGTCTCAAAACTACAATGCAACCACTTTTCTCTTGGTTTATGTATATTTCCACCATCCTTTTTGTTGTCTGATGGTAACAGTGATGAAAACTAAACAAAAAGGAGGAAATTTTATTCACATATTTTAATTTTAGAAGTACTTGAATTTGTTTGGCTTGATAGGCAAATCTCTGTTATTTAAAGTGTGGTTGGCATTTGTATGGCAGTGCTATTTTCTTAAACTGTTCCATAAGGTCACAAATCTCATTACAGTGCAAATCGTGGCCCTTGAAGACAATGGAGTTCTGTAGCAGCTCAGACCACTTTCTTGAAGCTAGTCCTGGAAACTGTTGTGCTGATAGTCTTTAGTCACTGAAGTATTCTGCATACCCTTGAATGTGAGCAATGGGGTATTATTGTGCTATTGTGCTGATGTATTTATGTATTTATTTCCACTATTGTTTTCATTTTTCCTGGTGGTGACAATAGGAGGACCAGGAATAGAACGTTTCCCTAGGAGTAGGATCAGATTCAGGAGTGCCCAAGCGAAATTTACTACAGTTGTGTATAGTTTTTGTTGTCTGAGATGTAAAAGAAAAGGAAAGCTCTATTCAGTACCACATGCTGATACTGGTTCCAGTCAGAATATAACAGTAAGACTAGATCTTAATGGAAAGCCTAATGCAAATCAATAACGGAATTAGAGTCAGTCATTGCTACTGAACGTCTGTTGTTATGCTAAATATTCTGCAGAGTGTTAGTATTTTTAACAAAAGTATAGTGGTTCTCAAATACTAAGAGGATTTAAAAAGATTTCATAAAATGTTAACTTCAAATTTTGAAAGGTAAGTATGAATTATGTATATAGGGTTTTAAACACTGCTTGTTGCCACTGTATTAATTCAAAGATAATATATTTATGATAGTGGGCACTAAGGAAAAAACAGAGCTAAAGGATATTCAACTTTACATGGGGAAACTGTTCGAATCTGTCAAGCTAGACATTTGCAATATATGTAAGTGTGTGTAGTACAGATAAGAAGAGACACTTTTGTATTTATCTAAAACTGAAAGACTAAGTAGATGAGAAGTCATTTGGGTCTTTAAAATTAGAAAATTCCTCTCACTGCAGGTAAGATTTTCAAGTGTGTTTGGTGATTACAGGTAACTCAAATTTAAGATCCTCTAAAAAGTGTAATCTTCAAAGAGTTACAGTTCAACGTTTCCTGAAAATAAGGCTGGGTTAGTGTGTTTTAAGTTTAGTAGCTAAAAAACATCAACCATACCTCAATTTCTTTTTTTTCTATGTTCGTGGTTATTGTTTGCAGAATTATATCAAAAATGGAGAAAATATGGCATTGAAATTTAAAATGGGACAGCATAAATATCATATATTCTGCTCTTAAGCATTTCTTTAATGTGGCAGACTTGAATATGGGGAAGATGATCATATATTCCCTCTGTTTCCTTTGCCCCGATTCAGTATAGTATGGTAAATTTGTTAGAACTTTCTGGAGCTTATCTTGTTGTCAAGCTACGTCTGCAACTCCTTGTAGAAAGGAACATACCTTTCTAAATAATAATTTATTGATTTCAGTTCATTTGGATTCCAGTGGATTCCAGTATTCAGCACTAGCTGCACCTCAGGTACTGTGTTTAATTTTGGGTCCCTCATTACAAGAAAGACATTGAGATGCTGGAGCATTCTCAGGGAAGGGCAACAGAGCTGGTGAAGGGTCTGGAGCACAAATCCTGTGAGAAGCAGCTGAGGGAGCTGGGGGTGTTTAACCTGGAGAAAAGGAGGCTCAGGAGAGACCTTACCGCTCTCTACAACTACCTGAACAGAGGTTGTAGCCAGGTGAGGATTGGACACCAGGAAGAATTTCTTCCCTAAGAGGGTTGTTGAGCTTTGGAGTGGGCTGCCCGGCAACATTGTGGAGTCACCATCCCTGGAAGTGTTCAAGAAATGACTGGATGTGGCACTTGGTGCTATGGTTTAGTTGGCATGGTGGTGTTCATTCAAAGGTAGGACTCTATGATTTCAGAGGTCTTTTCCAACCTTTATGATTCTGTAAAATAATTTCCACCCTTAGACTTCCCATACTCCTGTCTGAGGCACCACAGATCTTTATCCCTGCCTGTCTTGTCAGTCACAGTCAGAAATCCCCAAACTCATGTCTTTGAATGTTCCTGTTGTTCACCTACCATTTATGCTTCATTCCTTCCTTCAGCAGATTTAGATAGTAGACTTTCTTTAGAAAGTGCTTGGAATCACTTTAATATTTGTGAAATGATTTGCAAGACTGCAGAACGCTATAGTTTATAGCTAAGAGACTGATAGAAGGTTACAACCATTGCGTAATTTTTCAGATAAGACACAAAGTCAGAAGTATTGTTTCAGGATGAATTTTTGTGCCTGTACCTATCACAGAGGAGATAGTATAAATAAGGCTTTAAGCATGTGAAACTCTTAGTACAGTGGAGGTTAGTTTAAGTCACTGGAGCGATGATAATAGTACCTCAATACCAGTTCTTTGTTTTTTCTGCAGAGAAGAAAAGAAATTCTGAAATGGCAAACTATAATGTAATACATCGGAAGAGACACTCATGTTTGATCATATGTTTCTACAGATTAATCCTTATTTTTCACTCTTCCATTTAAAAAGGTTGTAATTTTTTTTTTTAAAAAGTATATTTCTCTTTTAGCCATTCATGAATTTCCTGAAGATATCTTTACAAATAAAGAACGTCGGCAAGGAGGAATTCTGCTTCATATCATTGCTGTAAGTTTTTCTCTGCTGTGCTAAATTTTTGTTTTCTTTTTATGTTATTTATTTTTGTTCTTCTTTTAATTTTTAATAAGATATTAATCATCTTAGAGACCTTACTAAGTAGAGCTCTGTATATATCAACATGTTTCTAATACTTTGATTTCAGTATTTCTAATATGTCTATATGTAGAGTACAAGTGCTTAAAAGGTAACATCTTAGGGACGTGGTATAGTGGTGGACTTGGTATTGTCAGTTTAACAGTTGGAGTTGGTGATCTTAAGAGTCTTTTCCAACCTAAACGATTCTATGACTCTATGATTTATTTAGGAAAATTGTGCAAGTCTGAATTTGCAATGCCTACTCATTCATCCTCTTGGAGATAAAATCATGGCAGCATGGATCACAGACTTCTGCTTGTATTTCATCTTATATAGACAGAGTTTGGGATTCCTTTATCAAAGACATTTAGCATGGTGTAGAAGATTCTTGTGTCTCTTTCCTTCCTTTTGTGCCTCTATGCAAAAGATACAATCGTAATTAAAAACAACTCAAAATAAATATAGAAAGTATCATGTGGAGTTTTACATTTTATTGTAGAAAACACAAAGCAAGTAAGGCCTGCAGGCTCCAGTTTTTCATTCCCAGCTCAGGGAAGGTAAGAAGGAGTTGTGTTTGATGGACAACAGCAAGGTTAGGCCCGCTGCATGGGCACAGCACAGAAAGCCACATAAGACAGTAGGAGAATCACATGTATGCAGGGAACCAGGATCATTCCCAGGAGTTTTGGTGCAGTGATGCATGGCCAGGGTCCGCTCATTTCCAATTGTAATTATTTCCTGAGTATTATTGTAATTATTTCCTGAGTTAGTCAACTTGGTATTACTTTCTATTTAATTACTTGGTCTGATAATTAAATGAAAATGTAGAAGATGATTATGTAACTTCGTAAGCCTTATCCATTACTTTTCTTTAAATGAAGTCTGTTGTGGCACCCTATTCTGTCAAACTGTGGTACCTTTCACATTCAAGAATCTGACAAACATTCTTGTTCTAAACTAAATCTTACATTCAAAATTCTGGTTTCACGCAGGGAGATTTTTATTTGAAATGGAATAAAAAATAAAGCTATATATTTCTGCTAGTTTGAATAAAAATAGCATTACCTTTTTTCCTCTTTTCATGTACAGGAAAAATCTGAAGCATTTTCTGAATTTATTTTCTTTACAGGCTCTTTATATGTTCTATGCTTTGGCCATAGTATGTGATGACTTCTTTGTTCCATCCTTAGAGAAAATATGTGAGGTATGTTAGAGAACTTTATTACTCTTTTGGAATTTTATGTAGAGAATATTACAGAATCAAACATTTTTGTGATCGCTGTTTGCAGTTCAGTCCTGTCAACTTTTTGGCCTTGATCCTTTTCAAGTGATTTGAGCTTCCATCAAAAAATGAACCTGTGGTCTGTGCACACTTGTTCCGTGGCTACACTCAAGCAGAAAAAATCAGAGATTTAATGAGATCAGATAGCAAAACTCACTCTTAAAATACCTGAAGCATGTAGCTAGAAGAGATATGGCTTATGGATGAGTTGGGTTTATTATTGTGCTCCTGGTTTTAATAGTCACTTGTGAAAAGAAATCGTAAATAGATTAATTAATGTATTATGCAAATCTAATTGCACATCTACCACTGTATCATCAAGGAGAAAGGAAGTGTATGCGGTTCTAGCATAAAGTGGAGAAAAGGGAGAATGTGTGATGGTTTGATATGGAAAGAGAATACACATTTTTTAAGCAAAAAAAAAAGTAAATATTATGCCTTTATGTAATTGTTGAGAAGACTTTGCAAAAATTACGTGGGATTCTAATTCAGTGATTTGATGGGGACAGGGTAGAATTTATACTTGGCATGTAAATGTTGTTTTAAGTAAGACTTTGGTGAACTACTATGAAATGAATACACAGTACAAATATAGATATTAATTCCTTTTTGAGGGCAAAATGAAAATCTCATCTGCTTTGTTTTTAAACAAAAATATGAGTGACCATTTTCTGAAGAACTCCTTTAGCTAGTTAAAAAGTCTTTTTTCCTATGGCTATATGTACTAAATTTCCGTTATTGTTACAGCTATGTACTTACACTTAGCAGAAGAAGAACAAATAGAAGATAAGGGAGGTGGTCAATAATAGTAAGATACTCAATAGGGATCTTTCCCTTCAGTTGTTCTGTTTTCAGTGTGCACCTTAGACACGATATTTAAATTGTACCACTTTGGTTGTACCAGTTACTGGTTACTGATCCTTCATAAAATCTTTACCTCTTGTCTCATGTTCTGCTGAACATTAAAACAACTTAGAAGAGTTCAAATAGCACACTTAGGTTTGAGGTCCTGCAACAGTATGACTGGTAACAGATCAAATTTGTGTTTATGTTTTGTCAAGTTGTGTAGGGTGCCATTGTCATCAGCTCAGAATGGTTTCAGCCAAATTGCGTGAAAAATACAGTATTTTTATACTTGTCCTTTTGTCACTGATTACTTTTGTATCCTTGAAGGAAAAACAGTGTACTAAAGATGAGCTTAGAGACTCTCAAAAAGGAAAAAACTTTTCCATAAAACCTGTTTATAGTTCAAGGGAAAGATCTTCATATGGTGTTAAATTGATGGAGCCCACTTATGAAGCTATGCATGTTTATGCTGGTCTGAGAACTCTAGGTTATCTATATCCTATTAGAGCTTAAGAGACACTCATAAAAATAGATCTGTCTACCATACACAGGCCTCTGTGTCTAATAGGACTAATTTTATCTGTGTCAGCGGACTCACTTTTGATTAACAGTTGTTAAGTGAAGCCAGAATCATGCCAGCTGTTAGTAAGATTTATTCACAGAGGTTATATTTTTCTTGTATGGATTTTTATTTTCAAATTTTAGAAGCCCCAAGAGTTGCCCTTAATTCTTGAATGATTGTGTTTAGAGTTTCAAAAGTAAATTAATGAAAACAATTTGAGATGTTTACAGTCTTTTTGAATCTGCAGAGATGCTTTTCTTTGATCAGCTGCATGTAAGCCACAATTGACTATTCAGTTACACACATAACTGTAGAACTCCACAATGTAAATACAGTAGCAGTGTTGAAATTACCAATTGTTTTCTTCCAGAAACTACATTTGAGTGAAGATGTTGCTGGAGCCACATTCATGGCAGCAGGGAGCTCCACTCCAGAACTGTTTGCATCTGTTATAGGTATGGAGCCCACACACAATCTTTTATTAGATCTGCTGTTAAAAAATCAGCAGCAGATCAAGCACAGGTACCCAAAAGTGCTACCATTCTTCTGTCAATTTATAATCAGCAATTGCAGCTGTCAGCTAGTCTGTGGTTCATGGTATAATTAACTACTCAAAATATCTCATGAAACTATGAGTCTCCTCTCAAAACATAGAGAGGAATGTCTCATTCTGAACACAGGAAGTAAAAGGAGAGATTCATTGAAGTCCCCTGAGAGATAATTTGATATATTTGGAAATGGATTAAGAGCAGCCCTGAGGAAAAAGACTTGGGGGTGTTGTATGATGAGAAGCTCATCATGATCTGTCAATGTGCAGCCCAACATGCATTTGCAGCCGGCTGCATCACAAGAAGCGTGGCCAGTAGGTCGAGGGAGGTAATTCTGCCCGTCTACTCCATTCTCATGAGACCCCACCTAGAGTACTGCCTCCAGCTCTAGGGTTTCTATTGGAAGGGACCATTAAAGGTCACCTAGTCCAACCCTCTCCAATAATCAGGGACATCTCCAACTAGATGAGATTGCTCAGAGCTCCATCCAACCTGACCTTGAATGTTTCCAGGGGTGGGGCCATCACTGAGTAATCTGTACCAGCATCTCACCACTCTCATTGTAGAAAATTTCTTCCTTTTATCTATTCTGCATCTACCCTCTTTTTAATTTAAACCCATTACCCCTTGTTCTAGAGGTCCTACTAAAAAGTTTGTCCATATCTTTCTTTTAAGATCCCTGTAAGTATTGAAAGGCAGTAACAAGATCTCCTCAGAGCCTTCACTTCTCCAGGCTGAACAAACTCAACTCTCCCAATCTGTCCTCACAGGAAAGGTGTTCCACTCCTGATCATCTTTGTGGCCCTCCTCTGGACTCGCTTCCACAGGTCCGTGTCCCTCCTGTGCTAGGGATCCCAAGCTGGACTCAACACTCCAGATGGGGCCTCACAAGAGCAGAGTAGAGGGGCAGAATCTCCTCCTTTGACCTGCTGGCCACGCTGCTTTTGATGTAGCCCAGGATGCATTTGGCTTTCTGGGCTGCAAGGGCACATTGCTAGCTCATGCTCAGCCTCTCATCCACCAGCACCCCTCAAGTCCTTCTTGGCAGGGCTGCTCTCAATCTGTTCATCCCTCAGCCTGTTTTGGTACTAGGGATTGCCATGAACCAGATGTGGGAAGTTGCACTTGACCTTGTTGAACCTCGTGAGGTTCACATGCACCCACTTCCTGAGCTTGTCCAAATCCCTCTGGATGGCATCCTGTCCCTCAGGTGTGTCAACTGCACTACATATCTTGATGTTGAACTGCAGAGTTGCTGAGGATGCACTCGATCCCATGCCTATGTCATTGATAAAGATATTAAACACTACTTGTCCCAGTATGTACCTCTGAGGGACATTAGTTATCACCAATGTTTATGGGGACTCTGAGCCATTAACCACTACCCTCTGAATGCAACCATCCAACCAATTCCTCATTCACTGAACAGTCCACCCATCAAATCCACATCTCTACAATTTAGGGAGGAGGACATTGTGGGAGACTGTGTCACACACAGATGACATTCATAGTTCTTCCTTCCCTTCTCCACTGATGCAGTCACTCCATCATAGAATGCCACTAGGCCAGTCAAGCAGGAGCTGCCCTTGGTGAATCCATGCTGGTTCTCTGTAATCCCCTCCCTGTTCTCCATGTGCCTCAACACAATGTCTTGTAGGATCTGTTCCATAGTCATCCCAGGCACAGAATTGAGGCTGACAAGTCAGTAGTTCCCAGGGTCCTCCTTCCATGGGAGTGGTTTCCCTTTTCCCAGTCACTTGGGACTTCACCTGACTGCCATGACTTTTCAAATATCACAGAGGGTGGCTTGGCAACTACATCAGCCGGTTCCTTCAGGACTCTGGAATACATCTTGTCAGGTCCCATGGACATACACACAGGTTCCTAGGTGGTCACAAACCTGATCTCTTACAGTGAGAAGATCAGAAAACTGTTGCTGAAAGAGACTCCAGGCCAATTTAGTGTATAAGATAAAGAGAGCAGGTCCTTTAATGAGGCCGTAGGCCCAGGGGAATACACACCACGCGCACGCACCCAGAGAGTGGTTCTATGATTTTATAATAAGGTCCACCCAATCCCAGATCTGTCCAACACTGGTTCTGCCCCCCGACATGCTCCTTTGGGAATTAGGTCTGGGGGCCTTTGGGACCCCTTGTTAGTCAAGCTGGTGTCCTGCAGCTCCCCATGGTCACTATATTGATGGCAGCCTTAGCTTAGATGCCCACCCGGCACAGCACCTGCATCCCAGAACTTCTGGGCTCAAGTGGTCCGTCAGGCTCAGCCTCCCCGACAGCTGGGACTACAGACGTGCGCCACTTATATAAAGATGGACTTTGCTCCCCACAGTTCCCATCTTCCCATTCACTCAAGGGGTGCAGGAAGACAGGTTGCCAATGGGGACTGAGGCAAAATGTTGTTGAGTACTTCAGCCTCCTCCTCATCTGTTGTTGCCGGTTTGACAGCCTTGTTTATCAGGGGAGTATGCTTTCTTTGACCTTCCTTTTCTTGCTTACATACCTGTAGAAGCCCTTTCTGTTATTCTTTTCATCCCATGCCAAGTTCAGCTGCAGCCATGCCTTAGCCTTTTTGACCCTATCCCTACACACACAGGCAGTATCCCTATATTCTGCCTAGGATACCTGTCCCTGCTTCCACTGCCTGTGGAAGGTTGTCTTGCTGTTTAGTTTGACCAGCAGTCTCGGCTCAGCCATGATGGTGTCTTGCCTTCCTTTCCTGATTCCTTAGACCTTCAACATGGTTGTTGAGAGTTCTTGTGCTTTATGGAAAACATCCTGAGATCCAGCTCTGTCCTGCTCCCTTGTCCCTGTGGGCAGTTTCTATTGAAGTTCAAGGAGCTACTGACTAGCTCCTTGAACAGTTGAAAGTTTGCTTTCCTAAAATTCAGCGTCCTGACTTTACTTTTTGCCTGACCCATATCCCTCAGGACTGCGAACTGCACCACTGCATGATCACTGCAGCCCAGGCTGCCTCCAGTCTCACATGCACTGGTGACCAATGGTCCAGCATTGGATTCTTTATGGTAGGGCTGTCTATTACCTGGCTGAAGAAGTTATCCTCCATGCACTCCGGGAGCCTCCTGGATTGCCTACAGCTCGCCATGCTTCTTTTCCAGCAGATGTTGGATGGTTGAAGTTCCCCTAGCAGGACAAGAGCCTATGAGTGTGATGCCTCCTGTAGCTGGAGCAAGAAGGCTTTGTCAGTAGGCTCCTCTTGATCAGGTGGCCTGTAGTAGACATCGATAATGAGGTTCCCTTTGTTGGCTCAGTCTCTAATTCTTACTCGTAGTCTTTCAACCCACTTGTGGGTATTCTTCAGAGACAGCTCTTTGAAGTCTATCCATTTCTTGATGAAGAGGGCAACTGCCCCCACCCCTCTGTCCTCACCTGTCCCTTCTGAACAGCCTGTAACCACTGATAGCAGCTTGCTAATCATGGGATTTGTCCAACCAGGTTTGGCAACTAGATTGTAGCTTTCTAGCAGCACGATGGCTTAAATTAGATAAATCTGTCTTTAGTAAAGCCTTTGTTGTCTTTCTGCTGCTATCCTGATTGACATTTTTACAAACTTTAGGGAAAGACTGTCTAAAGGAATGCATCATAACCTCGCATCCAACTTACTAAAAAACAGGAAGTGTAAGCCTTTAGGGCTCACTTTAGCAATCATATAACTTTAGCGAACGTTATCTGGTTGCTCACCTGGAAGAAAGATTTCTGTGCTTTATTATACTGGAAATAAATTCCATGCTTCTAATGACTGACTGGAGATGCTTTATACTCTTCTGAATGGATTACTGCACCACTAACAATCAAGCTGTGAAACAGAACTTGCTGTTGAACTAACTAGCTAGGAAATCATTTACTTTTAATAAAAGCATATATGTAGATATTTTAAGCCAGAACTGTGGAGCCTAAACTAAAAGCACAAAAAAGAGAAAAGAGAGCATTAATTATGAAACCTGCTTTGCTTAAACTTTCAAACAATTTCTTCAAGTAGTACTTGTTCTAAGTGACCTAAAATGAAATGACAGAGGTAATTATGTATGTTTTGCTCCCTCTGCAGGTGTATTTATCACTCACGGAGATGTAGGAGTAGGGACCATTGTTGGTTCAGCAGTTTTCAACATCCTCTGCATTGTTGGTGTCTGTGGATTGTTTGCAGGACAGGTTAGTAAGATATTTATCTTTATACAGTTCAGTTGCTTACAATTCACGGGTTTCCATGAGAAAATGTTAAAAAAAATAGTCAAAGACAAAAATGGCATTGTGAAAAATGTCAAATATTAGAAAGAATTTGCAAATGCTTTACAAATAGCAAATGTTTCCAAAAAGTTCAACTGTAATTTCAGCACTCTGAACATGTAGCATACAGAGAAAAAGAGAAAACTGGTTCCTCTTCGTAAAATACAATGTGTTTACAGTCAACTGATTGGTGGCATATGCTGATCCTTTCTGGTACTGATGATGACCAAAGAATCTAGACACAAGCATGAGATTTTTTCCATCTACTGAGTAGATGGTTAAACTGTGTATCATATTTTTTCAGGTAGTAAGTCCAATATATTGGATACAAATACAATGAAGAGGGAGCCATTGATCTGCTGCAGTACAATAAATTGTATTTTACAATTGAAATTATGAACAAATCAAATGTCATTAGTAAGAAATGTATTTAATTAATGGAAGTTTCTATATGATTTTTGTTACTGGTGATTGTTATAGATCCGTTTTCTAACAGACTGGTATGTCTTTCTGCTAGCAGAAAACTGCAATTGGTTTCAGAATTATTGCCAGTAATGCTAATAATTTTGCTCATACACCTAAGTTATTGCAAGATGTGGACCTTTTTTTGTCTTTGTAATTGAATATTTTTGTTGGCTGAAGGTGTGGTATTTTTCAGGTGGTTTGTCTTACCCAGTGGGCTGTGTTCCGGGATTCTGTATACTACACGATATCTGTGATCGTACTTATTGTTGTAAGTACTTCTCTTATCAATTAATGCTTGAATTTTTTCATTGCTTGAATTTTTGGAGGACCAGAATGCTAACCATTGATACACACTGGCAAATAATTATTTTCTTAGCTAGTTCTAGTTACATCTGGAAGTGAGAGCTCAGCTCCACAATGTGTGGTCCAAATATGAAAATTTCATACAGCCCCACAGAATATTTGTCCATCGTGCCCATCAGTGTCCATTTATCTCGTACCTACGGTTTGTAAAGTCTGCAGGCTACTGTTACTCAGTGCAATTAGTACTCTTTTCTGACCTAAGGTACTGCTTGCTGTGGAACTGAAAAATTTTGAGCTGCACTTCTATTTTAAATAGGGAAGATGACTGTTTCTTACTTCTACACAGTAATTTTATTTCACAGATTCTGGGTTTTTCCAAGTAGAGCACAGGTGAGATACCACTTTGTTCATCCAGAACAGTGTAGTACACATTTAATGTATCTGGTGTCAAGGCAGGGAAGAACCCACTCAGTTTGTATTTTGTAGTAAAAGTGAATCACCAGCTGCGTATTCAGTTGTGGGAGTTACATAGGGTGGCGTAAAACGTGTATAACCACTTGGCCCAAGAACAGAAGTAAAATAGCTGCCTCTTCTGCTAAAACTAGTCTTAACTGTTAAAAGGACTCCAGAATAAATGACTTTGCTATCATTTACACAGAACAGCATGTGGGTACATGTGAACATATCTGTCTTTTGCATGCTTGCACCATTTTACTAAATAGTATTTATAACTGTCACTGACAGGGATCTAAGCCTTTTTCACAAGGTTTGTGTTTTGTGAGGGGCACAATCCATACAGTGGAAGTTCTGATTAGAAAGGGTCAAAACTCGAGTAGGTCTGGCTAAATATGGCTGATATTTGCTAAACAATTTGACTCTTTTGCAAGATAGATCAGAGAAATGATCAATTTATGTGTTTCCTTTTTTCTCCTTCTTCTAGTTCATATATGATGAGAAAATAGAATGGTAAGTTGTGTAAATTATTCCATAGAGTTCTGTATTTGCCATGAGGCTGATCAGTAAATAGAGTTGCAGTGTAATTGACTTTCATTCCTACACACTGAGAGTATGAGCAGGATTTCACATCTATGTATTTTCTTTAGTTTTAGTTTTTATGAGGATCAGGGAAAACTAAAAGAAAATGTAAAAACCTGGAAACTTTAAAGTACAGAGGCTATACATAAGGCCTAAAGATTCACATGTGCAGAGAGGGTAACCAAAGTTCCTCTGCTCTGGTTCTGACTGTTGACATTTATGGGCATGCTAGGTGTCCCAAAACAGAAGCATCTTCTGAAAGAGTGCTCTCAGAGTGCTTGGCCTGTGCTCCAGCACTGAAATCACAAAAGGCCTTGGTATTATGATCCTCAGAGGGTAGCTGTGGTTTCAGTCTGCACATTTCTGAAATATATGCATTGCATTTTATTTGCACATTTATTGAAACTTGAGAGTCTACTTCCCCCTTCATTCTGCTGAGACACCATCTAATCTTAATGATGTGAATTTGGTGTACACAAATTGTGACTTGTACCAGATGTTTAAGGCACACTCCTACATAAAACTTGTAAAGCATACAGCTGTTTAAATGGCCTCCTAACACTTCTTTTTGTCTCTTTGAGGTGGGAAAGCCTTGTACTCATCATTATGTATTTATTCTACATACTTATTATGAAGTAAGTGCTTCTCCTTGGTATGCCTTTTAAGTGTTAACTGACCTTCATTCTTTTGGTCTGGTTTTGTCCTTGGCCTTCCTGCATTAGGACAATACAACCAGTCATGTTTCTGTGTAAGATCACTTGTTTTTTCATGCTTACTCAGTTTCTTTCTAGATTTGTGCTCAATCAACAGCAAATATTTTCATGCATCCTTTTCATAGTGCACGAAGGTAAAGTAGCTTTCAGAAAAAGTTGAGAGAAAATATCATTTATACAAAGTGACATGAAAAGTCCACCAGGTACTCTGGATTGTAAGCACACACCATGTCAGCTATTACACATATTTTGTACTCCCTGAAGAACAAGGTAAAGGAACATCAGACAGACTGCTAAGCATGTATTTATCTTCAGACCATCTCATAGCAGCTTGTATACTGACATGTTCTTCTGTTGTGTCACTGCCTCTGACAGGAGAGTCAGAGGTCTGACTGTTACTTCAAGTGTCTGTGAGTCCACTCTTCTATTTCAAGTTGCTTAGACTTATGCCTTGGTGCCTTCCCCTCACGAATCACCCTTTTGGAACTCGCTTTTCTCCTACATCAAGTCTTAGCAGAGTTCATTGACAGTCCTCTTAGATCTCACCCTAGTGCTAAAGTAGATGTATTCTGTCTTTAGAAGGGTATGGTCAGCAGTCCTGGAAATACTCAAGAACCCACAAAGGGAACACAGTACTGAGAGAAACAGTGAGGTGAATTGCAAGCTGATGCAGGAGGAAAGAAGCTGCTGTATAGTGAATGTCCTGGCTCCAGAATCCACAGCTCCAGCGTTCTGCCTTCACTAAATCTGCTCTAGTGCGTTTTTGCAGTTTGCTGTATGTCATGAGAGATAGGTGCAGTCCTTGCTTTCCTATCAGCTTGCCACTGAACTGAATGTCCTTTCTCTTCACTTCCCATTAGTTGTCAGAGAACATGCGTCTTGGCTTTACTGCTTGCCTGCATAAGCTGTTCTCAGACACTTAAAAATTTGCCAAGAAAATGCAAAATGCGACCTTTTCAGATCTTTCCTTTGCACTTTCAGGTACAATGTGAGGATGCAAAATTTCTTCACCCTTAGAAGTAAGAATGTGGGAAATGGTGACACAGTCAATGAGCTAGAAGATGGTAATAAATGTTATGCTTCTAGTTGTGATGACCCATCCATTCCGTTACTATGGAAAGGTAAGGCTGAGCAGACAGGACTTGGAAAAAGCATAGTTCACAAGATATCCTTTTTATTTCTTTAATGTGGATCAAAACAGTGTTACTATTCAATCATAAGCAGTGTTAACTTGATAATTCAGTAGTCAGACTGCCAGATTAAAAAAAAGATTTTTTTTTTTTGTATTCTGAAAACAAGCTGCTTTGCACATTGGCAATTTTGCTGCCTTTTTATCTCCAGTGATGAGCTACAACACTGAGAAAGAAATAATTTTTTTGCCAGGAAGAAGGTAATTTTCACTTCAAAAATTAGTTTGGAACTAGAAGCTGAGATGTGAATGTTGAAGGAGAAGACATGGGCAGATCAGTGAGCAAGAGGGATTACATACTGAGTTCAGATCCTCAGAAGACTGGCTTTCACATGCCTTAATAGCTCTGTATACATTACCAAGCACATATGTAAAATAGAGAAATTCAGGTTCTTTGCTATCTGTGTCTTTGTCATAAAGGGTAGAAGATGATATCCAGCTTCTGGTACTGAGAATCAGCAAAGATACCTGACTATTTTTGCCTTTTTTGTAAGCCTGTTTTTTATCTTTGTCTTCTATTCCATTCCCTCTTTCTCTGTAGAGCAAAATCATTCCTAGTTTCAAAGCACAAACCATGTAATTGATTGAGCACTTGGGTTACTCTTAAAAAAGTGAGGTCCCCTTGCTGTATTCTTTGCAAACACCTAGGAGGCTGAGCTCATCAGCAATGTAGGTAGCATTGAAAAGGTCCTCATGTAATAACAAATAGTGGCAAACAGGAATTTAGAGCAGACTCAGAGAATCACACTCTTTCTGCTTTTAGTTTTTAGATTGGGGTTTCTTTAAGGCATGGACTGTCACTTACCAAAGGTTTATGCAGTGACAGCACACTGCTGCTCTGGTCTCAGATATGGTGTTTAGAAAATACTGATTTAAAATTACTTCTCATAGGACATTGTAGCATAATTAAATGAAGATGTTTTTGAAATACTTCTATCTCATTTTATAATGTACTTTTGTGAACACTGACTATGGTACAGTGAATTCTGTCACTCGAATGTGGAGGTGCATACATGCAAGGTTCAGAGGATACCTCCTAGGGCGGGTATTGCTTGTGTATTTAAGTGGGGATATGGGAAAAGGTTGATCCAGTGAAAGAACCCTCTCTAGCCCTTGTGGTAAAGGGATGACAGCACAGAGTGCTTGCCTGTCCACCTATTTCCTTTTCAGGAAATCTGAAGATTATTAAATACTTGTGAAGAACATGCAGAAAAGAAGCAAGAAAGCTATTAAAAACTTGAACTCATGAGAATGGTGTCTCCCCTGGCAACTGTCCACAGCAGATTTCTTCCCTAATTTTCCTCCAAGATGCACTGGGACTGCAGTTTCAGTCAGGTTCCCTTTGCCTTCTCCAGCACCACACAAATACATGCTGCATTGGAGGGACCATTGTTCAAAGTGTGAAAGCAAACGTGCCTGGCATGAGAGAGGACAGAGGAAGAACAGATTAAGGATTTGGAGTGGTGGGAGAGAAAGATGGCAGTGTTAGCCTAGTTGCTTTGCAGATGGGTGCTTTATGTGTCAAGAAGCTGTCCTAGAAAACCATCACATGGCTTCCTCTTGCTTCTCTCTCCTGTTGAGGCAAAATATGCCATGACATGTCAGTGTCTCTCTGTTAGTTAACATCTTACAGGATGAGCTGCCTCTTTTCCAGCAGCAGCTTTCAGAAAGGAGCACTGCTAGTAGCAGGGAGAGAACTAGAGAACTAGAGCTGTCCTCTGCCTTACCTTCAACCAGTGATTAGTAGCTTTCAGGATCCACCTAAAAGCATCCCTTGGCTTCACCTAGTTATAGGTCTAGCCTTAATCTGATTTTCCTCAGGAGAAAAGTCTGATTACTTCCTACAAAGGAACAGTTGCTTTGGGTGTGAGGAACTATCATTCTACCAAGGATAGTTAGTCTTTTGCTCAGGGTGCAGGTAAAAGGTGGGTTCACACGCTGCAAAGCTCCTTTATGCTTTTAAGTTTTGTTACTTTTAAGACCTTCCTATGGTACAGTATAAAAGCTTCCATCACTCAAGTTTCAGAGAGAAAAAGGAGAGCATTTCACTGTAAGACAAATTCCATTTCAAGGCTGAGTTCTGTACACACAGGTAAAGGTGAAATAGTTGTACTTTGTAAATACTGCTCCTATTTTCAAAGTACAAATATGTACTGTCCTTGGCTTTTATTATGTTAACCCAAATTTCCACCAGGTGGCGTGGTTCAATTCCTGCCTGAAACCAGAAACTCTTGGAAAAACGTGGGTTTCTGAGGGCCTGATCAGAACTAAAGTCATCAAGAAGCTTTCTGTTGATTTTGATAGGGTTGTTGGTGATGAGCCTTTGTAGTGAGCAGAATGTTTAGGTAAGATTTTTGAAAAGAAAAGCTGTTCTCAGTGGATATTTTTACTAAGGATTATCACAAAGGAGAAGTGGAAAAGGCTTTTCTCTGTTTCATATTTCTTAAAAAAAGTTTTAGGTGGAGTCCATACTATATGAGGTTAATGTATATATATATTTATGGGCATAGAGAGTCAGACTGAAAAGCTTTTATGAAAATTATAAAAGCAATGTACTGCAATTAAGTCAAAATACCTGCAATTACTTATATATATATATTTATTTATTTATTGTGAGGTATTCTATATCAGTTTTTATCATGGTATTTTACTCACTGTTTACTGTTTACTTACAGTTTACTCACTGTTTTCTTAAGAAAACACTCATTGTTTCTAAGAAACAATTTCAGAGTAACTTCAGTGCTTCCATGTTTTTCATGACATTGTAAGATGATGCATTTTGGGTACTTCTTTGGAGAAACTCACTTGAGAGCAGTTAATCTGATGAGACTTTTAATATCTGGCCTTTTTGCCTTACCAGCATTACTGTCAAACATTTCTTTTTCTTTGTTTAACTAAAGCGAATGTTAAGCTGATGTGGTTGAGTCCTCCTCTGTGGGGATTGGTTCCTAGGTAACCTCTTCTGTGGGGATGGATTCCTAGGAAGCATGTCTGGCTATATATACCTTCACAGAAAACTTTAAACTGTAAGAGTCAGTGTAATGGATGTTCTTCTTATTTGTGGTATCAGCTGCAGTACTCAGCAAGGTTAATTTGGTTTAGGTGTTGGGGGGGAGGATAATTGCTCCTTTACATTTAGCAAATGTAAAATTACTGCTAGTTCTATTCTGCATTACAGATACTAAGCTGAAAGACAAGACTACAGAGTGGATTCTTTGAGTAGGTCACATTTCTTTGTGAAATGAAAGACCTCTTTATGACACTTCAGGTGACCCCAGTGTACTCATTGAAAACTCATTTTAGTGAAACAAAGCAAGACACTCAAATGCTGAAGGGTAAAAATTACAGATGTTTATTGGTGATTTAAAAGCTTGCTAGGTTTTTCATGCTGAATCATAATGGAGGATATATTTCTTCAACTTCAGATATGTTAGAGATGCTTGAGACAGCAAAGCCTTTAATGCATGATTTAGGTGCATGCGTGAATCCAATCTTTTTCGTGAAAAACAAAAATGCTTCAACACTGTAACAATGCAAAAGAATAACAATATAGACTACTGTGCGTTTAGAACAGGTCCATTTTAATTCCATTGTTTAAGTTGAATGTTTTCTTAGATTTCCTTTGCTTCCTGACTGGAACCATGCACTAATTATCTTTCACTTCTACCTCCTAAATTCTCTTCCTCTTCTTAATGTAAGTAACAATGCAAAAGGTGAGGGAGAGGGGGAGGCCAAGCTAAGCAAAGCAGAAAGCAAGCAGCAAAGAATTTTTTTTCCTGTACAATATTATATGTAATAATTAATATTTATTACAGTCATATGCATATTTCCTGCCCTGCTTTCTAACACCATATGGGTATGTCTCCTGTCTGCTGAGCCTTGCTCTGCTTTCTGTGTGTAGTCTGTAGCATTTGTGAGAATATTGGTTTGATATTGAGCTCCTGAAGTCCTTGCATGTGCTTGTGTCGATTCCCAATATAATTTTGTCTCTCTGTGTTCTTAACATGGTGAAACTTGGTTAACCTTGTAATCTTAACCTTGGTATAGGTTCCTTTATATTAACAAAGGCTTCCTTATAGCATACATTTGTTCCTGACAATTGTTTTTAATCGTTTCAAATCTTGCTATGTTAGAGATATTGGTTAAGATTTCCAGAAGGAGTGAGCACAACATTAGGGAGTCCTGGATGTGCAGCAGCTTGAGCCAATGGGATAGCTTTAGAAGTTTCAGGAGTGCTGTCTACACTGCCACGGTGCAAGTGCTTTTAGAGAAGATGTACAAAACCGTAGTGGGACATAAGCAAAGAAAACTGGCACTACAGCATGAATGGCTGGGTAAAAACTCCTCCCACTTACCTGAGAGTAGCTTGGTGGCTACCTTAGTAGAGTGAAATCCCTTTCCAGCTTGTGATCTGAACAAAGTGCACAACTGATGAGGAGATTCACCAGGCTGCAGAAACATTACAGTAAAGTCACTCATAAACTCAAGCATTCAGATGACTATTACCCCCTCCTGAGTCTGAAAAGAAGGACTCTGGGTGATGGAAAGCATGGTAAGATCAATTACACTGCTAACTCTGTCCATTGTGATCATTAGTGAAGGGGACACAGCAGTATGGCAAAAATAGTGTTATGATGGTGGATGAGATCATCTGCTCCAGTCCCCCCAAATACCGGTTCCCTGAAGCTGGCTTACGGATTATGATTACGAATAAGTTTGGACCACGCACCAGAATGAGGATGGCAAGCAGACTCATCATTAATGAGGTAGGTTCATTAAGAAAACAGTAAGTGACCGTGAGGCAGAGGGATTACCAAAGAGCTGTGCTCATAGCAATTCTGGAATGTAGATTCTCCCATGTTTCTAGGGGTGGAATAGAGCTGTGTCGCAGCAGATTTGAAGATTGATTCCAAACTGGTGATGCTGCCTGTTTTAATGGGACAGCAGTCAAGAAGGAGGGACTACCTTATCTCCCTGACAGAAGATGTTTATTTTGGGAAGTGTGTGTGTGTGTGTGCACATTTGGAATTTATTTGCAGCACAAGAATTGGTTTTGCTCATTACAAAAGTGGTCAGGCTAAGGAAGGATAATGAACAGCGCAACAAAAATTCTGTTAGAACTGCTCTTATATTAGCAATGCTTCAGGATCACTGCAGAGATTTGCCTGCCTCTTTGGTATTCACTGTAGTCCTCAGCTCAAAATAAAAATAGGCCAAAATATTTTCATGAGGGGAATTTGCTCTGGACAGTTTCAGTTCACTCTTACTTGATATATTGTCACCACTGTATATTGCTTGTTCCATATCCTGAAGCTGAAGTGGCAGGACTGGCCAAGTGATGCTGTTCTGAACTTACGTGAAGTACTTGGGGTGAAATTTTTGCCTTGTCAACCTTGGGTTCTATGAGGGCAGGATTTTATCCTTTGCTCCTACAATATCAAATATGAGAGGTATTTACTCTGAGAAACAAATTGATTTCAGTAGTTAGGATGTACAAGCTTTAGCAAGTTTCTAGAATTTGAACATCACAGTAGGGGTCATGTGTCTACCCAGCATAGTGAATATGCCCCACTAAAAGTACCATTAATATGTTTGTAACAAAAGTCCAGTTTAACAGTAAAACACTGAAAAATTGGTGGTGTTATGGTCAAGAGCAGAAGATCAGACAGGACACATAGTTGTTTTTCATTATAGTGTGTTAATACTGCTTTCAAAATTTTTCTTACATGTTGTGCAGTTACTTTATTTTTCAGGGCATTTCAGAGCACTTTTTAAGAATTTGCAATCATTTGTCATGGAAAGAGAACACTTATCAGCCCTGTATTATCTAATCTAATGAACTAAAAATATTCTTTTTTTTAATAAAAGAACTTACTGTTACATCTCACATTCTCCAGTTCATAAGTGGATATATATACTGATGTTTAAAACCTATCCCTGTAATTGTTGTACTGTCTGTTGGAACCGTAGCAGTCTTACACATGTCTGCAGGGCCAGTTATGAGCTTCAGGAAAGTATATACTGAGACAAGGACAACAGGGATTAGTCTTGTGTTTGAAATTAAAAGTGGAATATTTACATTTACCTCAATGAATGGAGATCAGAAGGAGGGAGAAGAGTTGGATCTGAGAAGGGGAGTTCCTGGGTAATTAGTCATTCATAAGCCAACTCTAATGGTGCAGAGATGTCTTGAGTGTTGTGACTAGATTATGGTGCTGTTGCTGGTTTGAGTGGGATTTGTTGAATGAGAAGTGCCACATGGTGTGGAAGAACAAACACTACAACTTCCTCCATCATGGCTTGGAAGACTCCTGCCATTAGTTTTGAGGTGGATGGTCAAAACTAGCCTGATGAAGACAGGTAGGCCACTTACAAGTTTGTTGCTGACTGAAAGGAAAGCTTTGTGGAGAAACTTCATGGCTCATGGGATTGGGGCTGGACAGACAGCAAAACTAAGATTTCACAAAATAAATGTTTTCCAAACTATGGCAGTTTTGTCTTTGACACTGTGCAGCGTCAGCGGTTAATCCAGTCTGCCAATGGTTCAAGCAAAGCACTTCAGAACAGGAGACAAGAGAACATTGAAAATGGAAACATCCCTGTGGGAAACCAAGAGGAGGAAAATGAACAGGACACTCTAACTCCATTTTCAGTGCCAGGTAAGACTTACTTTTCCAGGTGTTTGTAGTACCAAAACAGAAGATAATTTAAATGTCAAACACTGGGTGGTAAGAAAAGACAACGTATGTGGGGAGAAAGAAGGAAAGAGATTGTTTTGACTGTGTGAAGGCTGGATTTGATGACAGTAAAACTAGGCTGGAGGCTGTGTGGCTAAAAGCAGATCTTAGGAAAGTGTTTTCCAGTCACCATGGACAATAATGGTGGAAGTGCTGAATTGCCAGAGGCTAAGTGAAAGCAGGTAAGGCAGGTTTATATTAAAAAAAGCATGCCAGACCAACCCGATGAGCACTGCACTACTAGTAATTTTGAAGTCAACAGTTAATAATGACCTGCTGAAAATGGCTAGGCCAAAGGCAGTTAGGTGTATAAATACATAATAGATTGATTTAGTGACTGTAGGGGAGACTTCTTGAATGAAGAGAAAGAAAGATTTAGGGGGAGAAAGAGTGTTTAAAATTGTTAGAATAGCTAATAATATTCACCTTCTGAATTTTTTTTTTAAATTCTGTAAAGGTCTATATATATATATAACCAACCTTCTTATGCTGGTGCCCTTGTCACATTGCAGGTTGACTCTCATCCACATGCATTGGAGATTAGACAGCAGAGATTAGATTGCCCCTCATAGACATGTATCCAGTAGTCCTCTGTCACACAGTTACTGGTTAACACAAATATTGCTTGGCATAAATGAATGTTACATGCAGTGAAAAAGAAGGGAGAATTTGCCATGTTGTATATTATTCTAATTTCTTAGAGATCCCATTTCTTCAGTTGCTATCATTTGTGCTTGAAAAAACATTGAGGCATACTGTGTGAAGACTAGATGACACTGTATGTTATGTTACTGTATGTTACTGTGCTCCCACAGGAGCTTCTTGAAGTCAGCAGTTTATGGTTTGGAGTGAAGAATGGAAACAAACTAATTCACTGAAGAGAGGTCCACTAGATGGGCTTCTGATAATTCATGAGATAATGAAAAAACTACTTTTATTGTTTGGTGAAATAAGGGGATCCAGGTCAGCAGTATGCTTGTGCACGTGAACACGGTGTTAATGACAACAGTAATAATAGTAACGGAAACTGTAATAAACAACTTTTTAAGAAGCAAAAATGTCTTCCCAAGCCATCAAAAAAAATCAAAGAATCCTAGAATCATTAAGTTTGGAAAAAACCTCTAGGATCATTGAGTCCAACCATTAACCTAACACTGTCAAGTCCACCACTAAGCCGTGTCCCTAAGCACCACGTTTGCACTTTTTTTGAACACTTCCAGAGACAGTGATTCCACTACTTCAGCAGGCAGCCTGTTCCAAACCTTGACTATCCTTGCATGTGTTGACAAAGATTTTTAAACTGAGATGTTTTTAACAAGTTTTTGGATACAAGTTTTGATTAGTGTGGTGCAATCATGCATTTCTTCTCACATTCCAGACAGCTTCTTTATGATTAAAAAATAGATTTCAGAATAGAGCTTCCTAAGTGTGTGACATTCACAATAGATAGAATGCTTTGAACTAAGGAGGGAGTTATAATTTATGTCATTGGTCTTCTTTAAATGCAGTTTTTCTGCATTTTTGAGAAAGTCTTTAAAGATAAGTGAGGTGTAAGAGGCCAGAGTGGAACCATTGATGATACAGGTGATACTGAATGGAGCAAAAGTTCAACATGAACTCAAAAGAGTTGTGTAAAAGTGGTAAGGCAATTGTATAAAATCCTCATCGTTACCTTCAGGTTTTGTTACTCCTTTTGTCTGGAGATGATTATCTGTTGGTTGGATTCTCATTGCTCAACTCATATACTCTGAGCAAGAATTCTTTTATTTTGCCTACAAAAGCACCACTTTAATAAGTTTGGAGAAAATGTGAGGAGCCAGCATCAAACTTTGTTGTTGTTTAAGTACTGTGGGACAATCAGTAGTCTAAAAAAACCCTGACATTTAAAGCTGGCTTTAGGGAAAAGGTAGTTTGCAGACAGTTTCCCAGAATCCTCTCTGTTTTTCTTTGATATCTTTTCAGACCAGGAAGAAGGCACATACATTTTCTAAAGATCAGAAGCTTGTGTATTCTTTCAGTACTATAAAGGGTTCTATGAAAAACAGCCTTTCTCTTTAAAATAGGACTTTCCAATTCAACTGTTTGCAGTGTCCTAAGTAGAAAATTCACTCTAGTATTTTAGGAACTGCAACTGAAGTGGCTATGCATTGGCCCAACCCCTTTTTTAATGCTGTTTTATAGTCACCTTTTTTAGCCTAGTTTGGAATTTGACTTTCTTCCTTCAAATTGCATATTCTAGATCCTTTTGCAAGAACAACTTGGGGTTTTTTCTGAAACAGAAGTAAATGTAAATGAAGCTTAAAGCACTACATCATCTCTGAGTGATTCCCAGTAATTATTTGCCATCTCCAGGTTTTGCGTTTTGTTCTTTTTTATCCTTTGTCAACAGCAGTGCTCAGCAATAATTCTGGGGGCTTTAGCACAAAAAAGCAGAGAATAGTTGTTACATGAAAAGGCCTCAGACTGTTACAGCCTAGATCCCTTTGTCGAACATCTGTAAGGATTCACCCCTAGGGTGTGGTTCAGGCCCATTTTGAAACAGGAAACAACATACAGTTTTTGTGGAAACTGTGTAAGATATCATTCAAACCAGCCTTTGCCTTTGGTTTCTGTGTGGGGAAAAAACTTTGTCTTTTTAAAAGAGGAATTTCTTTCTTGACCTAACCTTTAGGCTGTGATGATTATCTTCCAAGAGAAAGGCTCATTTGAAGCTTTACAATTTGATTACTCTACAGTTGTTTGGAAACAGATCCTAAACTTTAAAAAAAACACTCCACACATCAGAATAAAGAAGGATGAAACCGAGCAAGCATATGTTGACAACCAAATCATGTGTTAAAGGCCTTGTATAGCTCCATAGTCCTTTAGAGCCCAGACTCAGAAAAGCACTTCTGTGCAGCTCTTAATGGATGCTTAAATCCCTTCCATTGTCACATGTTCAGCACCCTTTAAAATACTCTATGTTCTCAGCTCCTGCTCATTTCACAGAAATGAAGAACTCCTTCTCTTACAGGATTGGAGCATGGGTGCTTTATATAAGTCATGATGGTGTTAGCTAAAACAGAAATAATAATTCTTACAGCTAAAATGAGATGGCAATAAAAGAGATTAGCAATTCTGCCCATTTTTGTATGGATCCAAAATGCAAAGATAACATGTAGCATAGAAGCAAAAAAAAATTAACAGTATCTACTAGAAACATTTAAAATGTTTGTACTTGGTCAAACCAAATGTTTGTCTCACTCAATACTCTGACTCCAACCATGATTTTATGAAGAAGCCTGGGGAAGGACAAGACAGGAAAAGTTGGTGTTCAGCTGTTTTCAGCTCAAGGAAGTTCCTGGACTGGGTGTAAAATTTTAATTTAAAATTCCCTAGTGTATTTCTTCTTTATTAACCTGTCTAATTCATATTGAATCTTTGCAAACATTTAACACCCACAACATCCTTTGGGAAGGTGTTTTATGGTTTTGTGAAGAACCATCTTTTACTTCCTTTGAACCTGACTCCTACTAGCTTCACTTAATGTCTTCTTTTACTGGAAACACAGGGAACAAGGCAAACCTGGAGTACCTCACTTGAACACTCAGGATGCTGTATCTCTTTGTTATATCTCCTATGGAGTTACATGTCCTCCAGGCATGAGCTAGTTCCATGTAGAAACCTTTATAGTTTCTGTCTCCGATGCAGAGTTCTTTTACCTCTCTGCAATGCCCCCATCTTCTCTCAGTGCTCCTTTATACTTTGACCACTAGTGGACCCAGAAGACTTCCTGCTCCTAATGTATTTTAAGTAAGATTTATTGTGACTTCTGATTCTTCACTTTAGTTGTTCCTCAGGCTGTCTTTTTGGCCTGCTTTATGGTGCTTTTGCCAAAGATTGGAAACATGACTTAGGAGGCTTAAGGAGCTAGGAAGAGGGCTTATTTGATGTTGCAAGAGAGTTCTTCTTCCAAGAAGCTAGTTCAGAGTAGGACCTAACTGTAGTATACCAAAATGCTTTTTTAGAAGAGCTTCCTCTTGCCACTGCCTGTGTAATAGGGCATCTGCCTTAGAATTTTATTTCAGATCTCTGTTGTCCTCATTTACTGCACTTTGATTTGCATCGTGTTCTTGGAGCTCACAAGTCAGACTCCTTCTGTAGAAAACTAAACTGGAAACAGTGTTCCAGAAGAGCAATAAGTGTACTCCTTGGTGGAGGATGCACTGGATAGATTGGAAGAGAACTCATCAAAGATTGAATTTAGTAACTCATCACCGTATTATGAAAGGGTGAAGAGGAACTTGAGGAAGTCTATAAATACCGGTTTTCCCTTAAAAAAAAAATTGATTAAGTATACAACGAGGTTAAAACATACAAAATAAACCAGGCCAATATCCAACCAAGTTTAACAAGATATGGGGAGTATTTCTGTTCAGTTACGTTTTATTTTTGTTGAATGTTGTCCTATGTAAACCTATGGTAACTGTGAAACTAAAGTTTGTTTCTCTGTACTGGAGCAAATTCTTTTTTCTAGACCAGTTTCCACTGTACCGAAAATGTGTATTTAAGAGAAAATTATTGGCATAAATCCAAATATGCTAAGTGTGGTAAAAACACAGGCTGAAAATAGAGATCTGAGTAGTTTTGGACAGATCTCATGGCCTAGAATTTCGAACTTTTATTCTGGAAAATGCAACTTCTGAGAAGAGTACCAGTAGTTTAAGAAATAGTGTGTTTTGGATGAGGGTAAGAAGTAAAACCTTGGTGTTTTCCAGAGGGGAAAAAAAGTGTTTCCAAAGATCTGTTGCAGGAGAATTGCAATAAAAGTACTTTAATATATCTGTTGCCCGCTTGGAAGGTTGACAAAGGTTGGGCCTCCTTGGATACACTTATGTAGCCTTTTTCTAGTCTGGTAACACAGAGTCTTTTGCCTCCACAAT